GAAAGAACCCAGGAGTTTTGACTCAGTCAGCAGCTCTCACCTCTGGACAGCATTGCCTCACTCTCATCCAAGGCTCTGATTGGCCAAAGCTATCCAGCCTGGGGTATGTATGTGCGCGCGGGCGGGGAGAGAGGGGAGCACAGTAGCTTTCTCTTTGAAATCCTCCCAAAAATGGCTGGATTCAGCCTTTGGAAATAATTGCTGCACTTTAGAAATCTTGCAGGATTTCAAGGCTAATCCAAGGAGCATGTAAACCCTTTCTGGAGGATCTCGGGGGACTCCTTCCTTGTTTGTTATATTTTATGGGTTTGGACTAATTGTGCCTAAAAAAGAATCTGTTCTCCTCTGACAGCGGCAACTGCCAAGTGCCCAGGAGTTCTGTACAGCCTCAGTTCGAGGGGCCCGGTGGTGGCGCGGGACCTCCTCTTTTAACCCCCTCACAGCTGTAGGGCTCTGTGTGTCTCGCCAGCGGTTCAATGGACTGGGTATAGGACGTCAGGTTGGGATTTTGCCGGGACTGTATGTCTAACTGCAGTGCACAGGCACACTAAGCGCAGCCCAGGAAATCTGTGTCTCCCAGGGGCCGGGTGTGCCATGGCCGACCGTGCCATCTGCCAATGTGAATGGAAATTCTGGGTGTGACATCTCCCTGAACGGCTGCCGGTCAGGGAAGGGGGAGAAGCACCCTGAGGTAGAGCTCTGCACCTACAAGATGCCAAGTACTGAATTCCTGCCAGACCGAGACGGGAAAGGAACGCTGTAGGGCTGACTCCAAAAGCAATGACTCCAAGCAATATTCCCGCTGATCTTTTCCTTCCATGTGCGGACTTTTCCCATTCATGTGCGGAATAATTGTATATGCACCAAGGCATGTGCTAATGTGCACCACCAATAGAAACACAAAGCCTAGCTGTGGGAGCTCTGCTAATCAGCTGGGCAGCACTTGAATCTCTGAGCAACCACACAAGTGCACAACTTCCAGGGAACGCTGGCTCCAATACCGGAATGGGACTGTGGATTCCCCCAGCGCTGATGCGTGAGGACTGCACAACAGGAGGGATCGGTCCTTCAAGGAGCCGTAATGGGGCGCTCCTTAGCCCAGGAAGGATCCCACCCAACTCCGGGCAAAGAGCAGGGGGCAGCCGGAAGATCCTGGCCAGCGCTCCCTTGCTCGGGGAAGCAGATCTGAACAGCCACGGCGGTGTGGGAGCTATTGTTGGGCACATAATGGTGGCTGTGTTTGCCCACGTGCTCGCTGCACTCCCCGTGTCTAGCTCATTGCTTTGGAAAGCCCTTAGGGTACCTTTGAGAAAACTGCAGAAAACTGCCTGCGGCTCTTGGCAAGGCCTTGAGGAGACACCTGCCGTGCTATGGAGGGTGCCTGATTGCCCCCGAAATCCTCCCACATTGCCACAGGCTTTTCGCATGGGAAGCTCAAACCCTTTGCAAGAGCAGGCACCAAACCCAACTGGCAGGCTGGCAAGAGGCGCTGGGGTGGGAGCTGAGATCAACTCTCTTAAATTTTCCATTTCCCTCCCTGGAGTAACACCGGCCCCCGGAGGCCCTGAACCTGGAATCTCTCTGGACCCTGGAGAGCGTCCGCTCTGCTTCTGAGTCCCCAGGCCTGGAATTCCGTGTGGCGGCTGCTGGCCCGGCTTTGCTCCCCACCTCGGATCGCTGAGAAAAGCATCCAGGCTACCAGCCGCATCCTTAACCTGCCCCGTTGCAGCCGCCCTTTGCCCTGGCCACGTACACAGCTCTTCGGGGAGCAGCGGTCTTGCTAGGTAAGTCTCCGGCTCAGCTCTACCGAGAGCCCAGCCGAAGGAGCTGCACGTGCACAGGATCAAGCCAACGGTGTCTCTGGCCAGGAACCAAGGTCCCCTTGGAGGCAAAGCCGCCCCTCACATCCAGCATGTCTTTAGAAGGTCCCTTGCTCCCCACCTGCCTGTCTGCGTCCCAGCAGATTAGTGTCGTTTGCACGCGAGCCCAGACAGTGTCAATGCTGCTAGCCCGGCCTCGTGTGTGGTCACTGGCAGTGGCTGACCTCCCCGTCCAGGGCTGCTAGTGCCGGGGCTGGCACAGGGAGTAGAGGGGACACGGCTGGATCCCCAGTTGTCGGGGGGTGGCAGGTGGGGAGATCTTCTGAGCTCTCACTGGCACAGATGTCGGGGGAACCACCAATGAGAAACAGCAGAACCTCTCAAAGCCATCTCCCTCCGCCCATCCTCTCCCAGCGTGGGGCCTGACTGCTTGGGGTGGCTGCTGAGACTTGGAATTATTTGCCTTCCCTCGCTCTCGTGGTCCCTCATTTTCTCAGCTGGCTTGTCTCGCCCTGTCTTCACCCCCCCAGTACTGCCGGCTTCAGCATCCCGCCCAGAGCAGCAGCCCTAGAGGGATCGAGGCGGAAGAGGGACAGAACCTGGGATTGGTTGGTGGCTGGCTTGTCCCAGGCAGCCTGCCCTTCCCAGACACCCACACCGACCACACCGTAACAAGGCCCAGCCGGGACTCTGGGATGCTCTTGTGGCTGCAGCCTTGCGTGGTGCGGGACACGTGGCTCGTGACACGGGAGGGGCTCTTGAGGACTAGCCCCACCACATCACCTCCCAGGGCCAGGTTTTCTCCTCTCCGCAGAGGGAAAGCCCCGGAGCTTGGGAAACGCTCGGCTAGGAGCAGAGGCCTGCGCCAACACTAACCCCTGGTGGGGCGGGGGTGGGCAGTTTGGCTGGAGGGGGAAGGACCGGACACAGCTATTTAAATGGGAGGGGATGCCGACCTCTCTAGTGCCAGGGGATGCCGGGAGAGCTGGATGGGAACTCCCCACTGCATACGAGCCGACCTGTGCGTATGGGGGAGGCACAGA